AGAGGGTTCCCACCCCCCACCCCCCGCCCCCATGCTAATGGGGCTTGAACTCGGCCTGGGAGCTTTCTGTTCCTCAGCTCTTCAGCTCAAGGCAAGCGCTCTACCACTTGAGCCACAGTGCCAATTCTGGTTTTCTGGTGGTTAGTTGGAGATAAGAGTCTCACAGACTTTCTTGCCCGGGCTGGCTTTGAATCAGGATCCTCAGATCTCAGCCTCCTGAATTGCTAGGATTACAGGCATGAGTCACAAGACGGTTTTTTTTTTTACTGTACTGTTTGCAGTTAGTTCTTTCTTCTTTCTTTCTTTTTCCTTTGGTTTACTCCCTGTTGTCATTGTCTTTTTTAAAATTTCTGTACCCTTTGTCTTGTATATAAGTTTATCTGAGTTGGGGAAAGGAATGAGGATCATAGAAGTGGTGGGACAAAGGGTGAAGTAATTCAACAGTGATATGCACTACATTATGTTGAAATGAACTTTACAACTTGAAGGGAGGGGAGTTGGGAGTGGGGAGAAAATGAGGGAGGGAGTAACATTATTCAAAAAGAAATGTACTCATTATCTCACTTATGTAACAGTAACTCCTCTGTACATCACCTTTACAATAAAATTTAAATAAAAAAAAAACAGTTGTTGGAATGATCAAATATAGTTTTCAGTGCCTTTAAAAGTATAATGCCCTGTACAATGACAAGGTTTGGCTGAAAATCCAGTGTTTATTAAATCATAAGAACAGCTCATTATGTGAAATTATAGCAGTGTAACAATTCATGTCACGATGATACACAGTGAAAACATTTGGGGATAGGAGGCCATGCAGGTGAAGAAACATAAAGGCTGAAGGCTGATATGTACCCTTCTCTGGGGAATATAGCTTTGTGACATGCACAATTGCTAAAGCCTGCTATTTACTTCACTTATTCATTCAGAAAAAAGTACATATCAAAGGCACATTATGTGTCAGGTGCTGAGAATGTAGAGAATAAGGCAAAATCACGACTAAGGAGCTTACATTATAGAAGTAGAGAAAAAAATTAAACAAACTGTCACACATATTCAAATGATTATAAACAGTCCAAGGACCACAAAAGGGTAATACCAAGTACTATGAAGGAGTATTGGAGAGGCCAACTTTACATCAGAGGTGCTGGGGAAAACTTTCTGTAGATTAGCATTAGATCTAAGACCCAAAGTAGAAAAAGGTGAGTATGATCAGAGTATAGAAAAAAATAGAATGCATTGTTTCCCTGTGTCTCTATAGCAAAAATAATGTAAGTACTGGCATATCATCTAATAAATTGTGATAGATGGCTACTGTAGGGTATAATATAGCTGCTATATATTGTTGCTGTAAACTTTAGTTATAGGTTTTATATACTCCTAGTATAGCCACAGCCTAGTACCATACACAGTGGTCTAGTTAATAAAAGCTGCTACACTTATATAAGGTGCATTTTCTGTCATGGTAGAATATACATATATTACTATTAAATGCTGGAGTACATCTTCTCTATTTAACTATTAAAGTCATATCCTACATATTATATTATTAAATATAAGCTTAGCTGAGATCTCTCTATATTTTTTCCTAAATTGGATTGCATGCTTCATGTTATTATTATTATTGTTGTTGTTATTTAAACTAGGCTCAAGTGTTCTATCACTTGAACCATGCCCCTGTACTTTTTGATCTTCATTTGATATTTCAGATAGAGTCTCATACTTTTGTAATTGCATGCTTCTCTAATGTGGAAAAAGTAGGAAAAGAGGAAGGAGGAAACATGCATTTATATTTGGAACTTACAATATATCTAACATTGTGCTTTAAATTCATTATCTCCAAAAACCTTACAATTCTTTAGCATCCTCACTTGCAGATGAGAAGAGTCTTGTGAGGCCATGTCATTGATCACAATGTCATATAGGAGGTAGGAGAGCAGAACTTGACATCCCCTGTTCATAGCCACTATCTCCATAGCCCATGGACCCAGCCAGTACACTGCCGCTCCAAGCCCATGAGGTTCCTTGGGGCAGGCTTGACTTCTCAGACTTTCAGTGCTTGGCATGCATAGCCCTGGCTGTGGGACTGGAGGACAACAGGGAGGAGCAGGGCCTCACTCAGACAGAACTGCATTCCTGCCCTCTCCTCACAGGGCACAAACCTGAGACAGATTCTTGACCTGTTCTGAGGGACTGCGCATCCAGAGGGAGATATCAAGAGAATGAAAGTCAGAGGGCATGAGAGGAAAGTAGAGACATGGCTGTCTACGTTCTGGCCTGTATCCGGAGATCTGATCAGTTCATGTGAGGTCTGGATTCATTTACTGCCTTAGAATTATGAGAAACTTACTATTCCTTCATTCCTTCATTTTTTCCTTCTCTTCCTCTCTCCCTTTCTCCTTCCCTCCTTGTTTTTTTTCTTCATTCCTTCCACCTTTCCTCCTAAAAGTGGATTTTATTATCTGTAAACTGAGAAACCTTAACTGTAAAGCAAAGGCAGTATTTAGGAGCGCAGAGTCTCTCTCTGATTGTCGCTTTGGGCCTTGTACTTTCAGTGTTTGGCATGTCCAGCCCCGGCAGTGGGAGTGTCCTCTAGATTTGTAGTGAAATAATATTAAATACAATATGTGTAGGAGCTCAAAAGGCCATTATTGGGTCAGCGAGCAGACTTCTTAGAGTGGCACTTCTCAAAATCTGTTCTATAAACCTAATATGAATAGTAGGCTGTGTGGATCATGACACTAACCTTTGAGAAACACTGAACACTATATTTTTCTTTTGAGACTTGAGGTGCTTATATTCAAAATTCTGGAAGGTCTTATTGTAAAAAGGTTTGTTTAACTTAACATTTTCCAAACTTACTTGTACTCTGAATTCTCCCCGGCCCACAGTAAGACCCTGGCAAGTCCCACCAAACCCTGGAAACAATGCTGTAGACAACAGGGTGGCTCTGGGAGGGGCTGGCCTATGGGACCAATAGGGCAGCTTGAAGCTCTCCATTCTGAGTTTCTATTATTATTTTTCAGACTCTCCAAAGCTGTAGCAGTAAATTCTCCTGATCGATGGGCTCTTTGTTGCTATTCAGAACAGTTTTAGCAACAGGATTAATGCCTGTGGCTAGAGACTTTCTCCAACTCTCATAATGAGAAAGAATCACATTTTCTCAGTAGGAGTAGCATAGAGCTTGAATTTCACTATGAAACTATTTCTGAGGGTTGGGGATTTTAAAATCCTGAAATAGCTCTTCCTCTCCATCACAAAATCTGAAGCTTGAAGACGCATAGAAAGCATCTAGCCCCTCTCCTCTGATCATCTGAAGGCCAGTCATTTTTGCCAAGGTCATAGACCTATTTCTAGCTAGCCCTTCTCTGGACCACAAATGATGACATAAGTAAGTGTGTGGGATGTCAGCATTGACCTGGCGTTCACCACTGCTGCTTGTGTAATTAAACAGAAACATTAACATAAATCAAATGGTCATTCCCCCACCATCACCACTAGTAGCACTTCCTGCCTAGGGGAGGTGGGAAGGCATTGTTCTCCGGCCTGCAACAAGTCAAAAAACTTGCCAATGCTAATGAGCCATCACTTTGGCCAATTAAGAGAGGAAGTAAAAAATTTTCTTTCATGAAGGTTTCATGCCTCCCATGGGCTTTTTCCTTAACTTATACCCAGGGGCATTAGCAATCCCTTCTGGACTCAGTTTCCATGGTTTTGGAAAGTAATAAGCCAACTCTGTGTAAAATGGGCCCTGCCGTGTGTCAGATCTGGTTTAATGTGAGTACCGACCATGACCTTCTCATCTTCAGGCCTGTTTTCTCATCAGTAAAAATCACCTCTTTTGTTAACTTATAAGCATGCTGATCCCTGTTGTTAGACATTAGGAATTCAAAGACCATTGAGATTCAATCCATGTTCTGTGGTGGCTTGAATTCTACTGGGCTATAGGTAATAGGAAAGCACACTCAATAATCAGGGAACCTAGGAAAGGGAGTGGCCAATTCTGTTTAGGGCTTGGTAGAATGATTTCCAGAAAAGGGACATAACCTAAGTTCCCAAAAGGGTTAGTTAGATGAAAAAAAGAAATGAGGCAAGTGTTGGCAGAGGGCCATCTGCGCAAGGGTAATGTAACCCACAGGTATGTCTGGGGTAATAGGCTTTGCTTGGAGTAGCTGTAGCAACAGTCCTAAGAGGGGAGAAGGAGGTGGGGCAGAAAAGTGAGACACAGCGCCTGGTCAGGCAAAGCCTTGCATACAAAGCTGGGGAGGTTTTCTTGAAAGTATGGTCCAATCAGTTGTAAAGCTGTACAATATGGGTTGTGAATTAGAAAACCTATTGACTGTGTGACTTTGGTCAAGTCACTTGCCTCAACTGTGAAATAAGGGTAACAACACTATCTGTCTCAAAAGATCCAATGGTCTCTTTACAAATGATCACCTGGGTAGTGAAATTTTAAGTGTTAACTGATGGTGCTAATATAGGAGAAACTATCCAGGCATGAGTCAGAATGGGGTTGGCTGGTATGGTCACATTAAAGAGTGACAGTTCACATGGTCTGGTCATGCTGCTTTCCTTCACTAATGATCTCCAAGGAGCAACACCACAACAAAGGAGCAATCATTATAACCCATATGAGATTCTACAAAACTCAATTCCTCCCACCATTTCTTCTGATATTCACCACTGTCCTGTGCCAGGAAGTTATTATTATGCCCATTACCCAAGAGAAACTGTGATCATCAGAGAGGGAAAGTGAATTCACTGAGCTTACATAGGAAGTAGGTGTTAAGACTGATACTAGTTCCCCTGATCCCTGATTCCTGAGCTGTCCATGAAACCCCAACAGTGGCTCTGCAGAAATAGCCAGGGCTCATCAGACATACTCTCAAGAACCAAGGTGAAGAACAACAGTTTTTTTCTCTAAGTTTATCCTCTTTTTATGCTTGCTTCCATCCTTCTATCCTGTGACCACCTGCTTCTCAGCGTTCTCCTCACTCCCTCACCTGTAATTGCCCAGGTAGACTCCATCAGGGTTGAGCATTGGTGCAATCTTAAAGACCAGGTGTTCTCGAAGAGCACGGGCAACCGGGTGCTGGCTCACAAGGAAGTCAATGATCCCTGGGGAGAGAATAGTCGGCATTAACTTCAAAGTGTTCCAAGGAGGGAGTACATTTTTCTCAGCTTGGAAAACAATAAGAGCTCAACAGGTGACTACTGGCCTGTGTTGTTATCTGCTGCAGTGGCTGTGTGGCTATGAAAGAGATGATTCCCAGTGTATCTTCCTAGTATATCTTCCCTCCCCCCCCCCCCCCTCCCCAGAAGAAAGACATTTCAAGACACAGCCCTGAGGCCCAGAGACAGGAGCTGGGGAAAGCACCTCCTGCTGGAAAGGACAGATGAGGAGGGCTCCAAGAAAAAGATGACATTTGAGCTGTGCTTTGTGTTCTTATCCATGAAACCAGAGGGCCACCCTGAGAAGTCCAAAGCTCACCATGTCACTCCTTCTTTAGTACCCTCCGGTGATGGGGCTTGCACCTATCAAGAGCACAGGGGGTGGGACAATCAACAGCTCTGAGCTTTGGCCCCTCCCCTCTGTTCCACATTTCCATTTCTTCATTGGAGATCTGAACAAATGGTTAAAATGCTGCTCTAACAGTTCATGAGAAGAATGTAATGCAAGAAAGTGAGAGGAGAGTCCCTAAAAATACAAAGGGGTCCCATTCCCTGTTAGGGAGACCAAGAAAGGCCTGGAGGAGAGAGAATATTTGAACTGTGCCCTGACAGGTCTTGAAAGACAGGTGGAAGAAAGCTAGTAGGGTAACTGAGAGCAATCCACATGCCCAGCAGCAGGCACTAAGCTCTTGGAATGACCAGTTACCCCAGAACATATTCCAAAGCTGCTGTGACCAGTGAGGGACATCTCAAGCTTTTTATTATGTCAAGCTGAGAATCCATCAGCAATCCAGAGCCAGTTGGACAGCATTTACTTCCCAGTCAATGCAACAGTGGACCAGATGCCCTAATTTATTTGTTGGTCCTCATATTAAAGTTGCAGTTTGCCAATAAACAGGCAGAGTAATGATGCCAGGCACCCTTGTTAGGAGCTAATAATTGCTTAATCTGTTTACTAATTGACCCCAGCTCCCGGGGTGGCCCTCTATCAAGGAACCAGTCTGTGCTCAGGATCTGGACATGCTGCCTCTGAGAATGGCTTCTGGAAATGGAGTAGCTTGTCATGATCCATCCTCCTTCACAGATGAACAGATTAATTGGGCTGCCAATTAGGCAGCTAATAAAAGAAAGAAAAAACAAAGCCAGACCAGAGGCTGTAGCAGCCCAGAGCTCCCTCCCTGAGGTGGGTAAGGGAAAAGAGAAGGGGAAGTTTCAGACTCATCTGTTGGCTTGAGGTTAGATCCAACAGAAATCATTGCCAGTGATCAGAATATCAGAAGATCTTCCCTTATTGATTTATTTTCGGTAGTAGAGGAAGGTAGTAAGTGGAGAAGAAGGAGTAGAAGGAAGAAAGTGGGAGAAAGCAAGAGTGGGGACCATGCCATATCTGGCTGAATGTGGATGGAAAGCACTGCATGGGACAAGGAAGCAGAGGAACTCAGGGAGAAGAATGAATCAAGGAATTGTATTTGAACCTACATTGATTGTTAGCTGGATGTATGGCTTGCTAGCTTTCACTGAGCATTTTTTTCATCTTGACAGAAGGGTGATACTGAATCTGGAAGAATGTTGTGCATCTGGGAAAGAACATTTGGGCTCAGCTTAGATCTCCACATAGCACACACGTAGGTCCTAGTTTTGGGTGAGCTACAGGAACCTTCCAGGCATACTTTCTCTACAATTAGGAGAAAGAGCTGAGGAAATCCTAAGGAGGCATCTGACACTGACATCAAATGATTCCATTAGTTTTATTCCTTTTCCCCAAAGTGGACAAATCCTGGTCTGTTAGACAAGGAGAGTAATCTTCCTGCTGGGTGCCAAAATGTGCTCCCCTGACATCAGTCCTTGTTCTGTGCTGAACAAGTTTACCAGGTCCTTTCCTTTGGGCAGATTTAATCAGAAAGATGGAGGGGGGAACAGAAATGGGAAAGCTGTAGACTAGAGAGGCTAGGTGAAGAAAGAAAAGTGGTGGAAGATTTGAAATTAAAGCTGAGTGGCAGGGATTCTTGCCCAGTGTGAACCTCCAGCTGGCCAGAATGAATCTCACCAGGTCAACCACAATGGAACCTGGTATTCATTATTGTTATTTCAGGACTGGGCCCACAGCAGGTCCTTAATAAATGCCTATTGATGGATCAGTCCCAGAACTCACTCAAGCTTGACCAAGTCTGTAGTTAGTGAAATCGACAATCAGTCTACAAATACCCTTGGCAGGGCCAGTGATGGACATTCTAAGATGAAGAAGATGCTCCTGTCATCTCCTTATTGACTGGCCAAAGGTCTGATGGACACTGCATAGAATATGAGAAATTAGAAAGGGCTTTAGAGGTTAAGGAGGGGTCCTGGAGAAGGGACTTGGAAGATGAACAAGCCAGATGAAAGGTGCCAGGAAGGTACACAGGCAGGGGAATTCTTATACAGAAGCTTGGTGGTGGGAAAGAAGGTAACTATTCAATTGCAGGAACATAGCTTCAAGGTGAAAAGCACAGACATAAAGTAAACTCTCCTCCTCAGGACTCATTGACTGTGTTGTGGCCTTACCTCCTCAGTTTTCCTCACCAGTTCAAACGGTGAGAATAATTATTAGCTGTGGGTTACTGTGAGGATTTAAATGAGCTGATGCAAACCAAGTATCTGGTACCTGGGTTGCTCTTCCTTGGAGGAAGAGGAGTGGGAGACATGAATGGGAGAAGTGAGCAGGGACGAGACAGGATAGCTGAAAACACATGAAAGACAGAGGGAACCACTGCAAGGCTTGAAGCCAGGGAGACACAGGACTCCTAACTACCACCTGAGGGGAGGAATACAGTGACAGGACGTCTTGAAGGTTGGATTAGGGTGGAGGTAGGGAGTAGACAGATAAGAAGCCAGCACATATAAAGCAGATTGTCATCAGCAAACGGACTGATGAGGTGGAAGCCTGCTAAGGCTCTGGTGTGACCAAGGCCCAGAGAATCATGAGAACGGAGCATGTGCCAGGGAGTTAGCACAGTACTACCCTCCCCCTACCACCTCTGAAAAAATCATATAACCTTTGGCAAGATGCCTGGGATTAGGTTTCTGGCCCCTGGCACCATGGGGATCTCAAAATGGAGTTCAGAAGAATAAGGAAAATTATCTCTCCTGAACCTTTGAGTTTGGGAGATTGATGCTTGTATGTGATTATCATGTCTATCTCCCCTCCAGGGCCTGAGTTCCTGGAAAGCAAGAATTGGTTCACAATCTCTGCCACCTTATTCTCAGTGCCTGACACATGGCAAGTACTCAATAGATACACAAAAAATGATCCACGAAGGCCATTTTATTGGTGGATTGACTTGCAATGCTATTGATTCCATTTCACAGACAGAGAAACGAAGTCAGGGTGTGATATCACTAGCTGAGAGCCTCACTAGAGCCTAGATGTAACTCAGATTCAGTTCTACTGGCTTCAAAGCAGTGCTCCATTGTTTTTGTTGTTGTTATTATTAAAGCAAGATGGAAAGAATCAGATCATTTGCATATGTTTTACAAAGTGATTTGCATGTGCCCACATGATTTTCCCTCTAGAGATTTCTATGTAAGGCTTAGTAGTTTCTGTTCTCTGTTCTAAGGCAACATCATAGAGTGGGAAGAACCTGGGCTAGAATCAAGACAGCCAAGATCTCTCCTGCTGACACCACCTATTCCAGGCCCTCCCCTGTTGGTCACCAGGCCCTGTCCTCAGCCCAATGACCTCAAAGCAAGGAATCATAGAGAGTCTAGCCCTAAGGAACTTAAGGCTCACAGTGTAAGACTTCACCTTCCACTCCCAGTTCTGCCCATTTCTCAGAGAAAAAAAGTGATCCAGGACAGTGAAAGGACCCATTATACCCACATTTATAATGAGAGGCTATTTGGGGCTGAGATAGAGAAGATGCTACCTGAGTGAGGACCAAAGGTAGGAGGAAAGCCAAGTGCAGGAAGGGGCAAACCTGACTGATAGGAAACAGATATACTAGGTTGTATTTGCTTAGTCCTGGTGGCTGGTAGCACTGGTGATTATGAGATCATGTTTTGTGTGTGTGTGCATGTGTATGTGTATGTGTATACATGAATTTCATTCCTCCTCCTCTTACCCTCACAATTTAATCCTGAAGAATGAACCTCTTGAAAAGGAGGGCTTTTTATCTCCCTATTGTGTAGGCAGTGGGGGCATCTTGGCCCAGTCTCAGAGTCAAGTCCCCTGTGCCACCACTAACTTGCCAGATGATGTCCAGTGAGCCCATTGACATTTCTGAAAATCAGAACTAAGAGTCTGGGACTGCCTGGGGTACCTGTGGATGTACACAGGAGTGTGAGCACAGCTCAGCAGATTTCATCTCCATGGAAGCTCCTGAGCAAGTTACTGCTGCTCCATTCTGCAAGTGAGGAGCCAGGCTGAGAGTCAATGGACTTGTTAACGTAAGGGTTCCTCAGCTAGCAGACAGAAGTGGCAGGACTCAAACTCAGGCCCATCTACCTGTACACCTCAGCCTTACCACTACCTTCTGCTCTCAACCTGAGCATGGCATGCCTGGCTCTCAGTGGTATTCTGTGAGTGTTGGTCTCATTAATTCACAAACAAACATGTGAAGAGGCCCAGGTGCTCTGCAAATGGAATTTATGGTGAGAGTGTTCCAACTGCCCCAGGAAGGTTCAGTGAGTACCAGGAGCCAGAGACTGAGGTCTAGCTCTGGCTCTGGCCAAATGTCCAACATGAGTTGAGGAGGGCCTAGTCAAAAAAAAGCAGTGAGGCAGAGTGGGACCCACAGTACCAGAGGCTCAAACCTGAGTATGGGCTCACAGTGAGCCTTAGAAGAGCCATGCAGAGAACTGACAACATAGGCTATTAGCGTTGTCTCCCTGACTATAGACACCCTAATGCTCATTGTATTCCAGGCACCACCTTAAACAGTATATGGGTAAGTGCTTAATAACTTCTTTACAACAAACAGTGATACAAGATGCCCATTAGTTCTCTTTAGAGAAAAGGGAACTGAGGCACGGAGAGGTTCTGTGGTGTTCCCCAGGTAAATGGAGGACCTGGAATCCCATTCCTAGCAGTACCATCAGACCTCAGATATGGTGTCACACCTGCGCTCCCCTGTCCACTCACGTTGGAACTGGACATGAAGAGAAATAGGCCTCACAGAAGCCCTAGTGGAGCTTGGCATGAAGGGAATGGCCTGGAGTCTTCTCTCTCATCATCAAGTCTTCAGGAAGTTCAGCCTTTGTCACTGTGAATGCTACCTGTTCAGGGCTCTGCACTGATGTGACTTTACTCCCAGTAGCAGGTGCATTAGCAGCTCGGCAGTGAGAACCATGGTCCCAGACAGATGGGGAGAACCAGCTTCACATAGCTGCTTCCTGCTCAAGGTCACTCAGCCAGCTAATAGGGAAGAGCTAACAGAACCAGGGCAATCTTGGCCATCATCCCTCAAGGCCTCAGACTTGCCTACATCCCCAGGGCATGGTTGGCTCTGACTGGCGGAGCGGGGGTGGGGGGTGGGGAACCTCCTACTATGTCATTTGGGGTTTGATGTGGCTGTCTCCATGAGAGATCTTGTGTAGGCGGAAAAGTGGGAAGTGATGCCTATTTTACACCACCTCGAGGAAGAATACATCTACTGCCTTGTAGGAGACATGGAAAGAGGAAGAGATGGATTCCAGGGCCACTGTCATCAATGAGTTGTAGGGCACAGAAGAAGATACCTTACTTTCTTGAGCTTCTGCATCTCCATCTGGAAAATGTGCATCAGTTGTGGAGTAGCTAGAACTCTGCATTCTTCCAGGTACAAATTTGGCTTTCTAGCATTTGCCATCCCTAAGCAGAACAAGGAGCATGTTCAGGCTAGCCAGGTCTGGGGTCAAAGCTCCTTTCTTCCATTTGCTAGCTGTATGACCTGCTTATTTTTTTTTAATTCAGTTTTAGCAATTCAGAGCCAACACAGGCTTTGTTGTGCACACGAGCCCCAGAATATGGAGACCATAATTTTATTTTACAGATATAGAAAATGACCACTGGAGAGCGAGTCTCTAGACCTTAAATAGCTCATAGTTGAATGGGAGAGAAAAAAAATGAAAATCAATCCCATAACCACTCAGGGCAATAAAAGTCTTTTATTGATGGTGGTAATCTTTAGACCTATAATGTAAGTAGAAAGCAGAGGGTTGGACAAAGTGGGCCAGGATGGGCCACCGTACAGGTACTTTAAATGAACCTTGGGGGATGAGAGGTGCTACTACCTGGCAAGGAGTATGTTCAGGTCCTACTAGGCAGAGGGGGGGGACCACAAATGCCAAGGCCCCGTGGTGAGCACTTAATCTATGAGGCTGATGGTGTAGGCCTGATGTGTAAAGAGGTTGAGGCTAGAGAACCTGGCAAGAGCCAGATCCTGGCTCTGAAGCCCTATTGGGAACTCTGGAGTTCATCTTGAAAAGATAGGGAGTGGGTACTGAAAGGTTCTGCCAATGAGTACACATGTGAACATCACCGAATATTTCAAATGAGCACCACACAAAGATCCTTTTCCAGGGTTATCAGAAGGAGATTCACTCGACTTCTCCACATTTCTGTAAAATGGCATAGCGACCCTGCCCTCTGCCTACTGCCTATGGAGGAAGTGAGCATGAGGATATGGCTTCCCAGAGATGCAAATCTTAATGGCAAAGCTACTATGATTTTGTAAACAAGGACAAAGCAGTTACATCCAATCAGCTGGGAGAACAGATCTGCTGCCGAGTTTAGTAACTAACAGATGGTTACAAGTAAAGGAGTAGGTGAACCCAGGAGGGACCTGGAAGAGGTTGCTACAAGGACATGCTGGGAGCAACTGGAGCCCAGCCCTGCCTCAGAAAAGGTGCTGGGCTTTGGGACAAGTCCCTTCCTCTCTCTGTACCTCAGTCTCCTCAGCTGATACAGAGAGGAAGGCAATTGTGCCTAATCACAGCTTGGGAAGCCTAGGAACTGGGGAAGTGAAACACATGTTTATTTGCAAGGTGCTGGATAGTTTGCAAAGCATATTACCTGCTTCATCTTAGATTCCCATGGGGATGGAGGTGGCATCTGTCGAGTACCTGCTGTGTGCCAGGCACAGGGCTTGGGTAATATATTTACATTCATCTCACGCCAGCTTCCTAACCAACTTTCCTAGAGAACACTGTCATCCTAAGTTTACATTTGAGGAAACTGACGTCCCACTGCTAGAAGGAAGTTCAAACAGTACTTGACCTCAAGGTTGTCTGACTACAGATCTCCAAAAACTTCTACAATACCACATTGCAGCCTTCAAGTTAAATAACTTTCAGGGGCTTTTTCATTTCCCTTCAACCTTATGTCATCTTGAAATTGAAATAAGGTAAATTACTTAGTTTGTTCAAATTTCAATTTTATCATATGGGAAAAATATAGTCAATATTAATTTCTGCGGCATAGAAAATTCATAAGATTAATAAAATACATAAAGCATCTAGAACAATGCTTGATACATGTATAATATCAGATATTTTCATGTGTAATATACCCACTAGCTGAGTACAAATAAGAATGTATTGGCATAAGTTTGGACAGTAGGAACTCAGCATGTGCAGATGGATGGTTGGTACAGAAATTTGGCAATAATTGGTAATGTTGAAGCTGAACTTATGACCCAACAGTTACACTCTTAGGCTTTATACTCTAAGAAGGAATGTGAATATGTATATGAGGTAGCCTGTATAAAATGGTACTGGCATTAAAAAAAGAACTTTATTATCCATTATCAGAAGACTAGGTGAGTAAATTGAGCTATAGACACACATAGAATATTATACAGTGGTCAAAAGCAACTGAGTATTCTTCCTGTCAAAGACACTGAGAGCAAAGTATGTCTCAATAAACACAGAACTGTGGGATTTTCATAAAGTCCTAAAGCATGGGAAATAATGATTTTTCTTAAGAATCACATTCTAGGAGTGTTTACATGCATAGTAAAACCATGGAGAAAGATTAAGATCAAACACCACATTCAAGGGGGGGGGGCAAGTAGGAAATGGGACAAGCAATTTAAAAGCACTTGATAATATTCCTGTTTTTAAATAGATAGGTACTTGTGCATTCACTGTATTACTATTTCTGTATTATTTATTGAGTCTATTTATATTGATGACTAGAGATGATAAGTACTCATTTTATGTGGATTAAATATGTCATTATAAGTTTTAAAATACAATTATAGAGCAATGTGCTGGAGCAGAGAGATTGTATTATTTGCCTCTGCTTGTTTGATGTCAAGTGCACTTCCTTGGTCATGGTAGGTATTTTAAATGTTGTTTGTTGAGTGAATGTGTAAATGGATGTCTTTCTTTTCACACTTCACAGCCCTTCAGCTAACAGACACCCTGACATAGGGCTAGATTTCATGTCGCTCAGAACTGTTGAGCAAGTAAAGACAGGAAGTGCAGGTAACTATAGCCCATGCTCCAGGTAGCACACTGAGAAAATTTCATTCAGCCTCAGCTGTACACTTATCCATCCATTCATCCATCCATCTATTCATCTATAGCTGTTTCTAATCAATAAGTATTTATCGAAACAAAACCTGGTAGGGATCAGGAGTAACTTCTTCAAAGAGGTGAATTAGATCTCCATCCAAGATACTAACTCTGCATGTAACTACACTGCCCCAGAGTTCATCTCAGTGCCCCAGCTGGATGTGGGAGTATTTTGTATGAAATCCTCAACTCACCTTGGCATACAAAGGAAGAAGGAGTCTCCCCTGGGTGGACTCGTCCTGTGATAAATACCACCTTCTGCTCTGCCCCTTCCCGGAGATTATCTGTAAAGATAAAATGGAAGGAGATCATGATTGCGAAAGAGGGCAAGAAAAAGCGGAGACTATTTTTGATAAATGGGAGAGGGGCAGATGGAGAATATGCTGGATGCTTTACATTTATCTCTTAAACCATTGCATTAGAATAATTAATGCCTAGCCATTACTAACTAATTAAATTATGTTCCTAGTTATTCAATATTAAAAGACTGCATTCCCTTTTCTTGGTGCTGCTTTGCATATTATATTAATATGTAATGTTTGCAATCATCTGAGGAAGCCATATGAGTAAAGTTGAATCCCAAAGCCACGGGATGTGTCCATAGGCTATTGTCTATCTTTCTGAGTGTCAGAATTCTAATCTATAACCTAGGATGAGTGTAACTACTTTATGGGGCTGTTGTGATGATTAAATAAGCTTATACATTGCATAGTACTCAGCAAATATCTAGTACATAGTAAAAATAGGCAGGTGTTCCTATAATAGTAACAGTAGCAATTGCTATTTAATCAGCCACTTGTGTCAAAATTATTCATATGCATATTTATAATTCTCCAGCAGTATGAAGTTGACATCCCTGCTACAGGAACAGAATGAGACTCAGAGAGGTTATATAATCTGTTTAAAGTGAGCCAGCTAATGCATGGTGGCAAGAGCTGAGATTAGAACCCAAATTCCTACGTGGTAGTGATAAAGTAACAAGGGCCAGATTTCCTGTCATCTTTGAACAACTAGACAATTGAACAAAATATGCAAACATTGGACAAAAAGCATGAGAAAAGGAAAGAAAGTGAGGTATTCCCTACAGCTACCCTGACATTTTGCCTGATGGTCCATCATAGAACAGAGAGTAGTATCCTGAGCAGAGCATGGGTGCTTCACTGAGCTTTAAATTTAGCAGGTGGCATGGGTAAGGAATCCCTGAATTCCAGAAAGGACAGAGCCCAAGTCTGTAAAGCATTCTTCTCAACTTTTTGTTAGATTTCAAGATGTACACGCAGAGTCACTCTTAGAGTGTACATCTTCATGCTGTAGTTTGAATTTTGAGTAACCCCGAAATCCCACATGTTGCAGCCTTGACCACAGGCCTGTGGCATTGCTGGGAGTCGCGGAATCTTAAGGGGGTAGGGCCTATTAGACGGCAGTGGCTATTGGGGGCATGCTCTTGAAAGGGTGAGGACTCCTGCTCCTCTTTTTTCACTCAGGCTTGCCTCCAGCTGTCGTGTGGTAAGCAGTTTTTCTCTATCAAATACTCCCATCATGATACATTGTGCTCCCCAAGGTCCAAAAGCAACAGTGCCAAGTTACCATGGAATGAAACCTCCAATACCGTGAGACTAAATAAGCCTTTCCTTCTTTAAAAAATTTTATTGTAAAGATGCTGTGCAGAAGGGTTGCAGTTATAAAGGCAATGAGTACATGACTTGTCAATCATTGTTACCCCTCCCCTTGTTGTTCTCTCGCTGTCCCTTCCTTCCCTCCCCTCCCTCACTCCTCCCCTCTCCCCACCTGAAGTTGTAAAGTTTGTTTCCAACATACTGTCCTGTGGGTATCATTGTTGCAATGGGTTATCTTGTGTCCTTGTTTCAGTGTTTTGTTATTCCCCTCCTCCTCCCCAGATTAGACAAATGTGTATATCAAAATCAAATACAGTGACAACAGGGTATATACCATAGGGGGAATAACATAGGAAGGAAATTTTTAAAAATCACAAAGTATATTTAAAACAATAACAAAGACTGACCTCTTGTGTCCATATCTTGGGGTTCGTTTCACTTAGCATCATCTTTTTTTTTTGCCAGTTGTTGGGGCTGAACTCTAGCTCTTCAGCTTAAGGCTAGTGCTCTACCACTTGAGCCACAGCACAACTTCTGGCTTTTTTCTGCTTATGTGGTGCTGAGGAATCGAACCCAGGGCCTCATGCAATAGCATCATCTTATATGGACATATGTACATAGATTTTGTGCTTTTCAGCTAATCTGATGAGATTATCCTATATGTTACTAATTATTGCAAATAAGGGAAACTATGGGACATAAATTTCTTTGGGACTGGCCCAGTTCACTTAATATCATTTTTCCCAAGTCTTTCCATTTCATAACAAATAGGGAGGTGTCATTCTTTCTGATGGAATCATAGAATTCCTTTGTATATACCACATTTTCTTGATCCACTCATCTACTGAGGGGAATCTGAGTTGGCTCCATATCTTAGCTATGGTGAATGTTGCTGGATAAACATAGTTGTGCTAGTAGCTTTAGTATGGCCTTGTTTGTTACTGTTTGGGTAAATGCCCAGAAGTGCGATTGCTGGGTCATAGGGTAGCTCTATGTGGAGTCTTTTGAGGAACCCCCCATACTACTTTCCAAAGTGGTTGAACAAGTTTACACTCTCACCAACAATGCAGTAGGGTTTCCTTTTGGCCACATCCCCTCCAGTATCTGTTGTTATTAGAGTTCTTAATTATTGCCATTCTAACTGGGGTGAGGTGGAATCTCAATGTTGTTTTGATTTGCATTTCTTTTATGCCAGAAGTTGAGCATTTCTTCATGTGTCTACTGGCCATTCTTATTTCCTCTTCTGATAAGCCTCTCTTTAAGTCTTTAGCCCATTTGTTGATGGGGCCATTGTTTCTTTGAAGAATTGTTTTTGGGTGACTTAATTTTTTGAGTTCTAAGTATATTTTAGATATGAGGCCCTTGTCTGTTGTATAGCTAGTGAAAATCTTCTCCCAGTCCGTGGGCTTTCTATTGATCGTTTCCTAGCTATGTCCTTTGCCATGCAAAAGCTCTTCAGTTTCATGTAATCCCATTTATTCAACTTTTCTTTGATTTGCTGTGTTTCTGGGTCTTTATTAAGAAAATTTCGGTTTGTGCCAAGGAGCCCTAGAGTTTCTCTTATTCCTTTCCTTCTTAAAAATTGTTTATCTCAGGTATTTTTGTCAGTGATGGGAAAGTACCTAGCACATTCCATGATGTCAAGAAAAAATAGCCAGGGAACTGTGCGTTGCACATTTGCACATTTCTCAGGAGTCATAACAGGGATAGGATTTATTTGAATTCCTATTGCCAAAATAAAAGTCCTTGTTGACCATTCAGGAAGGATAACAACTCAGAAATGCCATAATTCGGAGGGAGGGTGAATGCTCATTTTAACAAGGCTTCAAAGAAGTGTTGAAAGAATCAAACTAAAGGGAAATTAACTGTTTGCTCTATGAAGCCCAACTCTATTGAAAGGAACACAACAAAATACAGACACCCAACAATGTTTAATTTGTAATATCTAGCATCTAAGAAAAATAGATATGGAGAAATATTAGATATGCAGAAAAGTAGTAAAATGTCTCCAGATAAAATTCTAAGCTCTATCTAGTATAATGAAGTTCAGCTAGTATAGACAAGAGTGACATTTCCTAAAAGATAGAGTGAGGAAAGGGTATTCAACCATGAGCATAAGGACAGAACAGAGCAGGTGACCTATAGAGATATAGAAGGGAACACAGAAAAACGGTATGACAGGAGCCCCTCTATGTTAGAGGATGATTTTGGGATTGATAAAGAATGAAGAGTTAACAGCCTTTCTCCTTCTAGAATACTAGTGACAACCATTTTGACTGTTCATTATTCCAACAGATAGTCAGAGACTAAAGTAAAAGAAAATTCTACACAGCATTGTTCTAAAGGCTTGAAACTGTTTGGTCTATTCGAGTGACTAGTAGAGTTTGGAGTCATTATAAGACTATAGTTTGGAGTCATTACAAGACTATATACACAAGAACTTATCCTGTGGTCAGTCTATGCTAAGCACCTTTAGGCTCAAAGAGGGGAAGAGAAGGCCTAGCACTCTGAAGAAGAGAGGAGATAAACACTTGAACTGTTCCTGGACTGGATATAAATTACTGAATGGATGTCTATCTGTGGGTATATATCTAATGTCTTTCCTCAGGCCCTGTATGAAGCAGGTATTCATGCACTGCTTGTTAGGTTAATGAATGAAATATTGTATAGACCCTACTTCTCTTTATGGGTAGACAGTATCTCACTCAATCTTCATCATGCTCTTGTGAGGTGGACAATGTTAACCTTTTTTTATAGGTGAGAGAACTGAGATGCACAGAAGGAAGAGCTATGCCCACAGTCGCACAGATAGTAGCCAGTCCCCAGCTCCCTGTCAGTGCCCCTGCACTGTTTCCTTTTGGAGCCACTAAATTATAAGATCTGCTACATTTCCATCTACAATGGACACAAGATAGTTTAGTTTCATTCCTTATCACTGATGGAGATTGAGCTACTTAATCTTTGTTACTTTTTCACTTAACAATAAAACAAATCACCAAACCCTTAAAAAAACAGTACCTAACACTGACCCCATGTATCCCCGCAGTCCGGAAATGATAAATGGCATTACTGCCGCTCTTGGTGAAGGCAGACTTTATGGATGTCTCCCCTGACCCAGTATCAATTCAATTGCATTCAGCGTTTCTGCTGACCACAGGGAAATGCAAAATGGGCATTCTATTTGCACACTAATTTTACTGAGCCCCTGTGTCTTCATAAAATGATAACGTGGGGCTAATAAAAATCAAGCATCTCGGGTGCTAATATAAGCAAATGTTGATGCAGGCAGGTAACAAATTGCTTTGTCATTTAGGAGGCCATAAAAGAGCATTATAATCATCTTTAGGCAAAATGGATGGATCGCCTTTGCTTAGCTTTTAGCTTTCATTTGCAAAATCAATTTAAGGTAATGTAGCAGCTCTGGATTGGTGTGACACAGGGCCTCTCCTCCCCCCTCCTATCACCAACCATATCCCCAGATTCCATGCAAAGCAGCAGGGTTGAAGGAAGAAGTATGTATGAACAAAGCTAGGGTGGAACCAAATGCAACAATGAAACCACGAGCAAGCCTAGAGGATAGTAAAACAAGAGAGACCATGGAAGTGACAAGTTCAAAGGTACACAGGCACCTGGATTGGAACTGGGGCAGCCATACCATGATGCCCAGT